GAAGAGGAATGAAGAGCAGGATGGAGGGTGAGACGGAATGCAAATGCTTTGGTGATCAAGGGCATCTCTCGTCAAGGGAAGGCCAAAAAACAGATATTATGCACCTCTGCTTCTCATTTATCTCCAAAGTGATCTGGCACTTATTTTATAGCTCTACTTTATTTCATCTCCCCCTTCATAACTCTTTTCATGTTTTTTCTCCAGTTTTAAAGTGTTAAAGTTAAAAAAAAAAAGCATTACATAAAAGACAGACGCAGGAGAGAAGTTCCTTAAGTAGTCGTTAACGCCTTGTTAGCAATGAAAATGATCTCTACAAAATGTGCTAAAGCTAGTTCTTCTCCTTTTACTGTCATATTGAATTTCATATTGAACACCAGAGAGCTTAGTTCTTTCTCTTTTAAGATGCATTCGCATGAACAATTCGGAGTCTGTTTTCGACTGTCAGACAAAATACAAAAAAATCAAAGTATCTAAAGCCAGCTGTTTTAAAAGAAACATAAGAGCTTCATTTATCATAACTGTGTTATTACTCCCCTTCTTGAGCATCTTTCTGCCTGACAAAGCTGCAGGAGTTTCTGTTGTTGGGTGACCAACAGCTGTCCTTGGCCAAGGTTGGTAGTTTATTCTAATAAAGGAACCTGCTCCTTTATACAAGGGAAGAGAAAAGAAGAGAAAAGAAGCCCTGTAGCAGTTTCAGCTGCAGCCTTCTCTGTAATTATTTACACAAATCCAGTACTTCAAGTTACCCTCTCGATTAGCAAATACAAATTCAAATACTGGCTAAGTCAAATAGTATAATCAACCTGTTTCCACTAGATGCATTAATACAAAGTTGTCATGGAATAATTGTTAATGTTGCAACCACAATCTGTAATGTGTTTCATTGGGATTGTATCTGTCAGACTATTGTCTCTAAAGTGAGCAAAAGCTATTTTGCAAAAATGGATGGGCAAAAATTCCAGGCTCTGCAGGTGCACACGTGATTGGGAAATACTCCAAACAATGTGCAGATGTCATTTCAGTAAAAGCTGGTTGTATAAAATATTCACTGCGGAAAATAAATGCTTACAATACATTTCTAATTATTATTGGGGGGTTTTTCACATTCCTTTTTTTACAATTTTGTACCACTTAGTGTTAGCCTATTACATAAAAAACACATTCAAGTTTATTGTTATTATGTGACAAAGTGTGAGTAGAAGTGGTATAAAAAAAGCTTTTGCAAGGAATTGTAAAAGGTGAGCTGACTGTGCTGTAAACCACTGCTGCTGTCCTCTTGCTCAGGTTTGCTTCCGCAGCTACATTGTGGAAGCTTAACATTTAGGCCTTGAGGGCACTAGAAGCTAAAATCTATTTTAGTGTTTGCCTGCATGAGCTTCCTCTTTTTATACACTCCAGAATAATGCTAGACAGTAACACATATTTACTTTCAAAGGTGTTTGACCTATTTTGCCCGGGACCAAAACATATCTCTGAGATCTCCTGCTGCACTGCCTTACCTTGAGTCTTCTCCCTTTGCTTACGAATGTGTATTTCTTCTGCATTGATCAGTAAATGCATCAGTAATAATTTCATTCTGCTGAGTCATAAAATGTTCAAAACTCCACTTTGAAGGATCCTGTAAAAAGCCGCATGCAGTTGGCATAGAAAACAAATCCTGTTTGACATATTTGATCCAATTGGTGCAGAAGTGTGTTTTTTAACGGTGCCTGCTGTCCATTTGTGCTACAGCTTTATCACTATGTACTTCATGCACTCTTTCAAATGGTCCATCGAGGCATTTGGTCTTGATTAAATTGCTGTTTATTCCACATACAGTCCCTTTCCTCTTCTGAGTGTCTGCAATATTTCAGAAGAACAGTCTTGGCTATTGGGAGCCTGCATGTTTTCCCCTTTACCTGCATCTCACAGCAGCAGCTTCTCCGGGTCCCTTGATGTCCGCTTTAAAAAATTTTTTTTGAGCATGACAGCAACAATGGTTAGTCTGGCTTTTGTGCTCTCTCTTTGTATTCCGCGTCTCTTTGATTCACCCCTGGAAGAGTAAAAACAGACGTATATTAAGTGTTTTTTTTTTCTCTATCTCCTCCCTGCATTCTTCCTCAACTTCCCTCGCTGTAGTCATCCTGTTATGTTATTCATCCATAACCTGTTACTGCTTTCTCTCCCTCCTTGCAGGCAGTACTATGAGATGCTTTACAACACTCCAGATGAGTTGCTGAACCTGGTCGTGGACCAGGGCGTTCGCTACACAGAGCTCGAGTACATCAACGCCCTGTCTCTGCTCCACCGCAGTCAGACGGGCGTGGGGGACATGAGCACCCAAAACATCCGTCTGCAGAGGCTGAAGGAGATCATCTGCGAGCAGGCTGCCATCAAACAGGCCACCAAGGACAAAAAGATCACCACAGTGTAGCAAGAAGACAGAGGGGATCACTTTGCCTAGCATTTTGTGTTCAGTTGTTTTGTTACTCATCCATGAGATCTCGAAGAGAGTGAAGATTGCTTTAGACTTGAGATTGTATGAATTTATTTTGAGGTGCGTCCTTTGTGTTTTCTTGCCTGATGTGACGATAAGGGTTGTAGTCGAGAGCTGACACAGACGTACATGATCTCACCTCTCGAAATGGAGATCATGGATAAGCTTACGCTGCACTGACTCGCTCTAATTGGAAAGTTAGATGACAGCCACCACCACCGGAAACTTTGCAAGTCTACTTTCTATATCAGGCATCATGCATTGTCAGTTTCCACTTTTTAAAAGACATCATAAATCCTCGCTGCCCACCAAAACCCCCTAACAACCACCAGCTCTCCAAAAACAACTGCTCCGGTTTAAACTACACCATCTTGGAACAGTCACCTAAACTCGGGCCCTATCTCATCTCATTTTCCCATTAGAACCCAAGCTGCTGCTCTCCATTACACCTCCATCTCTCTTCTCCCGCCAGCCCCTATGGACTCACTGATTCTGTTTGCAATAACAGATGCCAGATTAGACTGTCTGAATGAGGCCACTTCCTCCGCCTGCTGCCAATTTAGTTTGGTCCCCAAAGAGTTCCTGAGTTTCCTTAGAATTGTATCATATCTGCAGTTGTCAAAAATCTGCATCCTGGTCTGCTTTTTTTAAAGTTTCTGAAGTTGCCTTGTGCAAGGTGTAGGAGAATAAATCACAACTTTTTTTTTTTTTCAAATTATATTTTTCAGGTCTAATATACTGCTTTCCTTTTTCACATTTTCTACTGTTACAACCACATATTTTGTTCATTTTATTGGGTTTTTTGTTTCTACTTTCTCAAAAAACACCTGAAGCTCAGTCGAATTCAGTGGTTAAATTGGGTGACCGTACATTTCAAAAATGTTTAGGGTTGAATTCTCACCCCAGTCTCAAGTCGTCTTCATCCATCTTCCCAGCTATGCTCCCTCTGCTGTGGAAAACGGATCCACCAAAGTTACATAAAACCATAATAAAATCATAGAAATGGGCATAAATAAATTTTTAACGTATTTGTAAAGCAGTCATTTCGGTAACTAAAATCCGTCCTGTTTAAATCTCTAAAAAGTAAACTAAACACCATGAAAACGAGAAGACCCCAAGTCGCTTCCCTCCCTGTTTTCCGCTCATTAACTTTGCAGAGAAGTATTTAACGAGTGGAGGAGAGAGAAATGGGAGCCTTGTCAATACGGCGGTCCCACCACAGGTCTCCTTGAAGCCCACAGAGCAATCCATCATAGTGACACACAGCCTGGAATCGATGGGGAAACAACGATAGAGCTGCTGAGTGGTTCGCCTACTCCTCTGTAATATGCACACTTGGTGCAAAATCCTAGATGTGCTCATTCATTTGTTCACTTCAGAAATAGTTCTGAAATGTGGAAACTTTAATACAATACTATCCAACTGTGTCGTGCCTCTCGCATATGCTGTTAGATGTTCATCGCACTGCAAGGCTGATCTTTTTGTCATGCAAGTAATTCCCATAGTTTTCTGGGGATTTTTAACACTAGGTTTTTCTTTTCAATGCATACTATCTTTGCACATGTATTGAATCTCACTGTATCACGTTTGTCTTGAGCTTGTTTAAATCTTTTGCTTTTGTTCCTTCTATATAAACTCAAATCGGTCTGCTTCAAATTAGCCTCATGCAATATGTCAGTGCAAATGATAAAGATTTTTAAAAATCTCTTAAAATCTTCCATTAATTTTTGTATTTCAGACTTGTTCCTCACATTGTATTTTCTGTTGATGCTATATAAGTACCATCAATCACATAATGACAGTCTATCCACTCGAAGCAGTGGAGATGTTTTCATTCTCAGTCTGGAGCTTGTCTGATCCAAAACCAACATTAGAGGTTGCACTAAACCTGACAGGTGTGCTATGTGACACGACTTTAAGGCACGAAGAGCTTAACAGTGGCATATTGGGAAAAATAAACACAGACAGTATACAACCTGAGGCCTCAGTTGTTGTTGTTGGCATTATTCCACGTGGTGAAATGTTCTTGGCATAATATGGCATTTATAAATCCTGAATGTCCCTGGAGTACTGGTGTTTAATGTCATCAAGGTGAGGTGCAAAATCAAAATGTAAGGAGGTTTTTCAACAACTATATTTGAATTGTTAATTTACCCAGGATTTTAAGCTTTCTGATTTGTCTTTAACGTTGTAAATACCTTTAACATTTTTATATTTAAATGCCATACATATTAAAGTTCATGAACGTGAAATTTTGACTATGCAAATGCTTTGATCAAAACTATTACCTTGGAGCCATTTTCAAAATCCCCCCATACTGCAGTTTCCTCCTGTTTAGATCTCCCTCAAAACTTAAATAAAGTCCAGGAAAATGCGGACTTCCATTCACCTACTGGACAGAAGTATGTTCAATAGCTTCTCTCCTAGTATTATTTTTATTTTTATTAGTTTCTTATACCTTGTTCTTCGTTTTTCTTCAGTCTCTAAAAAGGTGCAGGAAAAAGAACTACAAGGCCCAAAATGCACTTCGTCTGGTGAGCCGTTGCCATGGTAGTCAACCGACACAACTTTGCAGGACCTGGGATAAGCTAACCTCGGAAGGCAAAGAATTAGCTGTTTATTGGACGCGCACATTGCCCACTTAGTTTTCCTCTAGAAGCTGTATTTCAAAGATACGTCAGCGGTTTATTTGTGTAACGACACAATGGAGGAAGAATTACTTCTGACGATTGAAGAGGAAAGAAGGAAGCCACTGGTCGAACCAGAGACGTTAGAAGAAAACGTCGAAGTCCAGGTAAAAATGTAACCGCTTCATGTTGACCTGAATACATCTAAACGGAGCATATTATTTAAGATTTTCTCCTAAAAAATGGTCACAATGGTGTATTTTTATGTATTCAATTTATGTTCACCTCGTCGTGGCGCTGAAAAAAGCAGATAACCTTGAGTTGAAGGCGACTGAACTGAATAGCAAGGTGTAAAGGTTGACTATTTTGAAATTACCAGAAGTGCATGAACGCAGTGGTTCCCAACCCCCGGGCCGCAAGAAATAATTAAATATTTCCGTTTTATGTATTATTGCAGTGTGGAGGATCTTTTATTTTGAAAATCCCTTAATTGGATTTTCTCAGGTACGTCTTGCGCGCCAGCATTGAGCCACAGGCAGCAAAACGAGTCAGAAACAGATCAAATGTCTTTGGAAAGTTTCTTTGCGAAGGGAAAAGGCCCTGAGAAAAAACAGGAGAATGGATTTATCCCGGACCGGAAGGTGATTCCCACATTACAAGCTGCTCTGCATCACATGGTGACTGGAGCTTCAAACTGCTCCAAGTAGCATCATAAGCAACACTTTGGATGTCATTGTCTCTAATCACGAGCTTGTTTGCAGATAAACAAGCTCAGGGCTCCCGTTAGTCGTTATCCTGAGTTGAAATTTTCACGAAAGTGATATGTTCGTATTTGTGGTGCATCTGCATCTTATTTTGAGGAGATATGTAAACGTTACCACAGCGACCAGAGTCAGAGCGCTTTAGGGCAGTGGTCGAGATGACAGCAGTAGTAGAGCTTGTAAGTTTTAGCTCTGGTTCAGCTGAAATGATTTGAATTGGAGGTGAGTTATGTTTTTCTTAGTGAACATTTTTTAGCTGAATGAACATAGCCACATATAATAAACATATATCAAAATGACCTTTATATATACTAATAAACATTTCCACATATCATCTCGGATGTCCACTGGACTCTCAGCTGCACCATGTCAACTTTTTGAGACGTTCTCCGTGCTTACGTCACCACTTTGTTTAACTTAAATAATTGCAAAAAATCGAAATCTGCTGCAGCGATGTTGAGCATAACAGCATGGACTATATTAGTTCTCTAAAAAATGTTTTTTGATGTCACCATAGGAGGGGGTGTTGACTGACAAAATGGTGTCCAAAGGTTTGTCCCATCTTGGACTTGATCTGACCAAGCAGCATCATGTTCTATGCCACATATCCCTACCTGTGAGATGTGTACCCACAACCTGGACATTGATTCATTGAAGCCTGATTAACTTTATTCCTGAGTGTGTTCTTTTCTTCTCCAGAATCTCAGTCTTATAGACATATCTTTGTTGTGCAAGTATGTCAATCTTGAAAAGCTAGAACTGCAACACAACAACATAGAAGGTAACATTTTTTTCCATTTTTCATTTACTTTCATTCATGATTTTGTGCAATACGGCAAACTGGCAAATTATAATCCAACCTTTCCTGTGGTATAATGTGTTGACATATGATGACTAAATGATTTATTCTAATTATAATACATTTCATCACAACTTCTAGATATATCCTGCCTGAACCACATACCCCACCTTATCTACCTGGATGTGTCTCACAATAAAATCTCCAACTTCTTCCAATTCCAGCCACTCCGGTACCTCGAGGTGCAGGACCTTGAACTGACAGGATAAGACAACATTTGATTGGTGGCTTGGGCATCATTTTCTAGCACTATTCCCCTAAGATAGGCCTGGATTACCATAGCACATCTGTAGTCGCTCTGAATTTGCTTACAAGGCATTAGCTGCCCTTCAATGACAGTGAACATTTGCAGAGTCTTGTTCAAAAGAGGTTGTACATTGCAAGTTTTAGTTATTTGTTAAAAGTTTTACTGCTTTCTTCTGATTTCCAGGTGGCTAATTTCTCCCATAACCGAATACCAGACATAAAGGATCTGGCAGGCTTTTGCTGCCTGCGAAAGCTGAATCTGGACTGTATCCTTGCACTCATTCACTTTAAAGGATGTGGATGTCATCGCATCGCCTCCTGATGCTTTAACAAACTCCTATAGTCTGAAGTTTCTATTCGCCAAAATCCGCATTAGACTATAAATTATATTTTATTTCTTTATTTTAATGCTTTCAGAGTGTACCGATGGTACAAAATATAACTTCAGTGAAAAAAAGACTGATGAGACAAAAGTAAATCCTTTTTTAAGTGTTCATAACCTTACCACTTTCATAAAATAACATAGTGTGATGGTATGAGGTTGAAGAGTGGGGGGAAAACTCTCATAGTTATGGAAAGAGAGCAAGTGCTTTATATCAGTTGTTGGGTGGCACAGCCAGAGGGGGCATTTACTTTTTCAAGTAGGACCAGGTTGGTTTGGATGGCTTTTTTCCCCCCATCATCATTATTTGTTTGTTTTTAGTTCGATTATTTTTTTTTAGAAAAATGCTCTGTGGTTCACAGAAGCATTTATTTATTATAAAAAAGAAACAAGTCAATTACTTTTAAATTAGTTCCTTCCATATTACAATGTCCACATAGATATTCTAGTGTATTAAGATGGGAGAAACAATTTTGTTTGTATTTGTCGGTTGACAGCCTTACTGAAAACCCAAGCCAGTACTGTGAAATGTCACTTGTGAAATGTTGCCATCAACTTATCTTTTCAAAAAGATTTTTTTTTGTACTCCAAATCTGGCTCATGCATAACAAGTTATTGTTTATCTGGAAGGATTTTTTTCATAATAATTTACTCAGACAACTGTCTCTCTGAAGTCAATGGTATTTGTTCTGTCCTCAACCATCTCAGCCTGGCTCACAACAAAATCACAAAAATCAGCAACCTGGGCAATCTGCCTCTTACGTCTCTCAGCCTGGTAAGATTTTATTATTTTGCAGCATTCAAAAATTTTGATCTTCCTTTAGGGACCAGGTCTTTGACTGAACCTGGACCGAATTCAGCCTGCACACATTCCCCTTTCCCTCCAGCATCCATCTCGTCCTGCCCATGACCCCGCTCCTTCCCCAACGCGCCTCCTAAGCAGCATGGCATTGTCAGCCAGTCTGTTCCCAGCACTTCATAGTGCCGACCCAGAGCTTCCAGGGACCAACACGGTCACCCTCCCCTGCTGACAGCAACCCCTGTCTGGCAGGATGCTTGGCAAGAGCAGGCCAAGGTGTGGCCAGGCAGTTGGATAACAACTTTGTCAGTAGAATAGATAGAGAATCAGGATGACAAGACTGTTGAGCCCAGGTCTTGTTCTGTGGTTCGTCAGCATGCTGTGCTAGCCCCTCAACAGCTGTTTAGCTGTCAGTCCAAGCCTGTCAGCATTTAGCAAAGAGCCAGTCCTGCCACTCAGCTCAGTAATAAGGGTAACAAAGCTCAGGCGCTGTGTGGATCATTCCTAATAGAATTATTAATAAAAGTATAAAAAGGACTTGCTGCACATACATTATCATTAATGTTTCCCTTTTTGCTGTTTGTATTAGAAGGGAAACCAGCTCCACAGTTGTGAAGGGTTGGAGAAGTTACAGAACATACAGTTTCTTGATTTGTCGAGGAATTCCATCACTTCTCTTTCAGGAATTCAGAATCTCCGCTATCTATACTACATCAACTTGGAGAAAAACCAGGTACCTTCAGCAACAGGACAGAACGTTCTCTATCATCTTTGTAGATGTATATAATGTATACCTGCGTTTTACTTGCAATCTAGGTTCAAAATCAATACTTTTGTGAAAGAATATATGTTATGAAAGAAGAGCTCAATAAACAGAACGTTAAAAAAATAATCAAAATTATAGTGTTAAAAAGTAAGAAACTTTTCATTTCCCAAAGTTTGCTGTATTATATCTAGTACATACAGATAAGATAGCATACTATTTTCAAGCTCACAACAGGCTTGAAAACTAGCTAAATCCAACTTTAGACAAATAGTTTTTCATGAGTTAAAACCTTAAACTGTTAATAATAAAAATAATTTTAATAATAATATTTTTTTCTTCAGATTGTGGAAATTGAGAATTTAAAACATATCATTGATCTACCGATGCTGACAAACCTCAATCTCCTGGATAACCCTGTGCAGGTGAGTGAAATATTTACATACAAGAGTCTTCACCCATAAGAATGTAAAATACAGTTGAGGTCAAAATTATTAGTCCTATATGCCAATATTAATGCCGTCTATCCATTTAACTGGATAGTTAGATCTTTGACCCATCATCTCTTTCAAGCTTGTGAAACCTTCTTCAAGCTTCTTCATTTTGGAAATACTGTGCTAACTATGAATATCTTTCTCCTGCTTTGTGCACATCAATTCTTTTTCTCAAGTCTGAATTGTTTTTGGCATTATGTTTTCTCAAGTGGGAGCTCAAGCCCTTGGTGAGGATTTTATACTGTGCATAAAGTGTCGGGTAACCTTTTACCTTTATTGATTCAATGATGTGCTTTGGCCAAATAAAGAGGTCAGTTCTCAAGGGGGCTAATAAGTTTGGAGAGTTTTTTGTGAAAGAATTCTGGGTAACACTTTATTTTGACGGGTTGTGAATAAGACTGTCATGACACCGTCATAAACATGACGTAACACCTGTCATGAACATGAGTAAGTCTTCATGAATATTTATGACTATTGTCATAAAGTGTCATTCGGTAAATCATGAAACTTTTAATACAAAGTTGACATTTTTCAAAAGTGCTTTGTCATGACAATTTGACATTGACCAAGAAATCATAAACTGACATAAACTTGTTCTAAAAGTATTACTGATTAAACTGTAGCGCTGATAACGTAAAGATACATAATTTTACAAGTTTAATCCGCCAAATAAAGTGTTACCAAATTTTGTTTCTGTGCGTAAAGTAAATTTTTGTAAGCATCCAAAATAAAACCTAGATTGTTTGGAAAAGTTGTATTGAAAAATCGATGTGCTGTTTTACAAAAGCACTTTAGAAATTTTTGAAAAACATACATTTTCAAATGGGAAGCAAATCATTTTGACCTCAAGTGTATACTTTAATATAAGCAATATCAACGGAGTTTTTGTAGTAATCTCCAGATTTATTTATTTATTTTGTTTTCGAGTTTTAAAAGTATGAACATAACTTTGCAGATAAAATGTCTTGTTTTCATTGAGTCGGTGTTGTTGGAGTTTTTGTAATATGCAAAATATTTGCAATTATTAGGAGCACCAGGACTACAGACTGAAAGTCATCTTTCTCCGCCGAAGTTTATCAATGCTAGACAATAAGAAAGTCACTGTTGAAGAAAAGGTGAGAATCTACATTTTGTCACTTTATGTGTAAATTGTGTGTAGAATATTTAATGTGTCCGATCACAAACTCCAGGTGTGTTCACTGAACATGTTTGAGCCTCCTATGGACATAGTAGCAGCAAAAGATCACATCACAAATATGGTTCACCGGATGGCACAGCCACAGGCTCTCTATCGAAGGTTTGAATGAGTATTTCAATATTTTTTGTTAGATTTTACGTTATTTCATCTCTTATTTTTAAAGTATTTGCTAGATGAACTAGCTTGATGATTTAGTTTCTAAAATGACAAACATGTTGCATAATTTACTATTCATGCTTACCATTTACCCTGAACAACTTTCACAGATAGTTTTCAGATATACAGTACTGATTTCTCTTGATGTCTTATCTACTTTGCTTGTGTCAGCTCTTATATTTTTGAGAACATTGATCTTCAGTTGATAAAAGTCTGCAGTGGTTTTCATTGCCTTGTTGTGGTATTTTACCCATGTTCCTTAGAAAGAGAAACGAGTGTTAAATTATGCATGTAAGATGGAAGTCAATGAAGAAAGTGTGTGTTTTTGTCTGATTGCGTGCAGTACAATGCCTACTCCAAACACCCCATACCCAATGCTGGTGCTGACGGGCCCTGAAGGCTGTAGGAAAGGGGACTTGGTTCGCAGACTGTGCCAGGAGTTTGTTAAAGACTTTGGTGTTGGGTCAGTCTGACAAGAGCTTTTAATAATCTGTATCTTCTTCTTGTCTTTCATATGTGGTGTTGGGTCTGTTTAACCAGAACAACAAATTGTTTGGATCTAAAAATCACCATCTGGCCAACAGTTGATTGGCGTTATTGTACATCCAGTTTGAGGGAAATTTACTTTTTCAAAAGTGTCAGGTTAGATTGAATAGCTTTCTTCTTTAGTAAAAGAATGTATTAATCTGGGTTTTCCTAGTCTGTTTTTAAAATGTGTATGGAATGTATCTGTAATCTAACGTGACAGAAAAGGAAAATAAGGCTGTTGGGTGTGAATACTATTTTGCGGCACTGATTTTTCTAGAATGCATGTGAATTTGCTTCAGCGTACTAACTAACTCTTCATATGTCACAGCATCTGTCACACAACACGGCAACCACACCCTGGAGAGAAGAACGGGGTTGATTATCACTTTGTCAGTGAAGACGAATTTCAGAACTTAGTTCTCATGGTGAGAATCCTCCCCCTTTGTTTGTGACAAACTAAAGATTAAGATTTTTAGAGGTGTTTTTTAGCAGTTGTTTGCATTTGTAATCTCACAAATAATTAGAATAAATGAATATTTCCCAGATTTTGTCAAAATACATACCCAATATTCTTGATAAATTATGTTTAAAGTGAGCTCAATTCTCACGTCTCCCACAGGAAGTTACAAATTGATTTTAGAGGCTGGTTTTGATGTGTTGTGGAGATAATTAGTTTTTCCTGGGGTGAATTGTCCCGAGATGGGCTTTTCCACACACAATCTTGAAACACTTCTTGGGTTCTGGACGGACCCCAAACAGAATAAAATAAAACCGATATTATCTGAAATTATATAATTTGACACAACAAACATCTAATTTTTTTCACAACTGCATATCTTCTCCTATGTTAACATTAAAGTCATTAAATCAATTGTGACATAGCGAGAGTCAGGTTTTTAATTTTACATTTATGACTACTGAACCAAACTTACAACTTATGAGTTTAACAATATGCTAAGTTGTTGTTTGATGTGTCTTGAAAGTCAGGAATTTTGAATCCCTGCTAAAACATGTAATCTTAGTACTGTAAGGTTTATCTTTGAGAAATAGCAAAGAGGATTTCACCCTGACTACCAGGTCAAAAGTTCATTTCAGTGGGTGGGCAAATAGTCTGAGGTTGTTCAGCTTGACAGAACATGCTGGGAATGTGTGTATTTATGTTTGCTGTTTTTTCATGTAAAATAAAGCTTTTTTCTTCTTTTTTAATGTAAGGGTAAATTTCTCTTGACCATGCAATATGGCAGCCATCTGTTTGGCCTCACCAGAGGTGCAATAGAGGAAGTAGCAAATCATGAGGTGGTTTGTTGTGTACATATGGAGCTGGAGGTACTCATGTTAAACTAATATTAAAACAAGATTTTGTTCTAAATATTCTGGGACTGCTTTAAGAATAAAAGTGTAACACAATGAATAATTTGTCAAATAGATAAAATTGTGCTTTTTTTTTTTTTTTTTTTGCAGGGTGTTTTCAGTCTAAAGAAGACTTGCTTTAAGCCTCGATACATTCTGCTTATACCCACGGAGATAGAGAAGTTGATCACCCACTTGAAAAGCACTAACCGTTACACCCAGCCACAGATTGATCTTGCAGTGCAACGTGTGGCCCTCTATTCAAAAACCAATGAAGAACGTCCAGGATTCTTCGACAATGTCATTCCATGTGGTAAAATGCGAAGGAAAATGTATTTGTGCACTGTTTGCTTTTAAATTCCAAATATGTATAATTTCTCCAAACATTAAACTGTTTACACATGATGTCCTTTAAGTGCATTCTAAGCATATTGGTAGGTTGCTGCAGTAAAATCCACATTTAGCTGCAAGATCACTGTGTTTATCTTGCCTCTTGATAGCACTCAGCCTGTTAGATGTTTTCTTAATGAGATGAACAAACAGTGAGTTTAAGACATTCATCAATTTTATGCAGTGCTAGAGAGCCCCTCATTACACCAAGGTCAACATCTACATATCTTTGATTCATTGCTCTTTGATGTTGGATGCACTGACTCTGTTCAGGACCCAACTTCCTTGTTTGTTTATTTATGTCTGTACTTATGTAGATCACTACGAAGACGCTTACCAGACTTTGCTGGAAATAGTGAAGGTCTACATGTTCGTTGAGGAGCTGGAGGAAAAGGAAGAGCAGAAGACAAGAGAGGAGGAGGAGAAACCAAAGGAAGAGGAAGTGGAAAAAGAGAAGAGCAGCAGTGAATCCTCCTCTGACAGTTTGAAATGTGTTTCTCTTTTTAGATTTCCAGTTCATCAATAGGTTTCAAGATTTTAAATACTTGTTTTGTGAAAGGGCACATGATTATCGATTGTTAGGCTTTAAATGACCAGATATCATGTTAGTCAATCTTACCTTAAGGTTTATGTCAGATAATTGGCTTATTTTACCATGTTTAAAGCAAAGTGGAAGCTGTTATTTTACTGGTTTCCGGAGGAACCCAGTAAAATCATTATCATTCAAGTTGCACAGCAACTTCAATGATAAAACCTGTCACCAAACTCTTGAAGGTTACAAATCTCAACTCTCTTCTTCATATAAAAGCTAAGACCACCATTGCTATTTTTTGTTGTTTTGGTCTTCAAGTATTAAGCTACAAAAATGTAAATTCCACGCTCTCCAAATAATGTTTCAGGCTTTGAATCAGACGAGGGACCAGATTCTACATTGATAGAATCAGAGTCACTCCCTGACTCAACCGTCAAAACCAGCTTAGCTAAAGTCCAGGCAGATTCCAGCTGTCGAGAAACATCAACTGTGAGTTTGTGTCTTGAAGCACAGCAAAGCCTGCAAGTGGAATTAGAACATACATCTGAAACCAGATGTTGGAAGAAGTCATTTTGAGCTGGCTGCTATCGAGATGTTTATGTTTCTTCTCTTTCTGCAGGAGCTTGCCTCCTTGAGGAAGCGAGAGGAGCTGGAGATTGACGCTGTCAACTGGGTTGACCCCATTTTCATATCCAGGTTAATCTCTGCTCTACCTAACATGGATTCTCACCATTTGATATTGGGTGGTGACATGAACTGCGTAATGGATCCGACCCTAGACCGATCCAGCTTTATATTGACATCTCCATCAAAGATGGCTCAGGCCTTTGCAGCATTCATGAAGCAAGTGGGCTGCATAGATCCTTGGCACTTTTTGTTTCCAGATAATAGAGAATTTTCTTTTTTTCTCATGTCCACTAGTCGTATTCAGGGATTGATTGTTTCTCTTATTGACAAAACTCTGCTTCCCTTTGTCAAGAAAAGTGAATATTCTGCTAGTGTAGAGTCTGATCATTCACCAGTAATACTGGACTTAGCCTCCCCACTTAATCAAGCTCAGCGCCTCTTCTGGAGATTTGACTCAACTTTGTTAGCAGATGACAACTTTTGTGTATCAGTATCAACTGCCATAGATAATTTTTTGTTTGAAAACAAATTAGATTCTGTGTCACCCTCCATCCTGTGGGAAACATTAAAAGTGGTGATTAGAGGTGAAATAATATCTTACATGGCAACATGCAACAAAATTAGAAAAGCAAGGCAAGAACAGCTTATTAGTTCTATGCTGGAGCTGGACTGTAGGCATTCAATGTCATCCTCCCCCAAGCTATACAAAGAGAGACTTTGTTTACAAATGCAACACAATCTTATATCAACGCAGGACGTGGAACAATCCTTGCTTAGATCCCGAGGCTTTATATATGAACACGGTGAGAGGGCAGGCCGCCTCCTGGCCCACCAACTCAAAAGTCGGTCAGCTCATATCACAGATCCAAAAGATCTCTGACAAGCAAACTATTGATCCAGCTGAAATAAATTGTCTTTGAGAAATTTTGTTCTGACCTATACTCGTCACAATTCCCAGAGATTAACTCGGATATGAATAATTTTTTAGACAGCTGGGATATCCCTACTGTAGACCCTGCTAGGAAGAGAGATCTGGATAAGCCCCTTACACTTAGTGAAGTTATCAATTCTATTTCAGCAATGCAAAATGGCAGGGCCCCTGGACCAGATGGCTATCCAATTGAATTCTATAAAAAAAAAATTCTCATCCAAGTTAGCACCTCTTTTACTTGAAATGTTTAACCACTCACTGGATCGGGGAACCTTGCCACAGACTCTTACTGAAGCTAACATTATACTCTTTCTATAACATGGTAAAAACCCAACTGACTGCACTTCCTACAGGCCCATATCACTCCTAAATGGTGACGTTAAAATCTTGTAACGCATGTAAGCCATCATCATTCCCTGCATTAATTACCTCAAAGTTTCCTCTCTCTCCTAAGCAATGTTCTTCATGTCCAGTTGTAATCTCCACCCTAAAAATATGGCCACAATTTAGACAGCACTTCAATTTGACAAACTTCTCTATCTACAGTTCTGTATGTGATAACCATGTTTTCCTGCTGGAGTTGGAGGAGGAGGAGACAACAGACAAAGAGAAACCAAAGGAAGAGGAAGTGGAAAAAGAGAAGAGCAATAGTTGGAGAGGTGTTTCTTTTTAGTTTTCCAGTTTATCAGTAGATTTGAAATACTTGGTTTGTGAAAGGACACATGATTATTGATTGCAAGGCTTTAAATTACCAGATATAACGTTAGTCAATCTTACCCTAAGGCCAGCTACTCATCTTTATATTGTATTTCCTAATCTGTTCCCAAATGTTACCATTTGCATAATGGTAACATGTGCAAATGGCATATCAGTGTGTTTCTTTGGGTAGTTAGGTATTTTGGATGAAATTCTAAGCTAAATGTTCATAGAAACTTTTAAAATCTCATTCATCTTTTAATTTCATTCAAACTCACCCATCAACCTAATGCCATCAACCTACTGTGGGATCAACTCAGGATATCTGGGGTGGATTTTATTTGTTTGAAAACCATCACTTATTGTAGGCTATAAACGTCCATGCACTAAGAAAGAGATGAGGTTTATATTAGATAGTTGGCTTATTTTATCATGTTTAAAGCAAAGTGAAAGCTGTTATTTTACTGGGTTCCCAAGGAAACATATTCATGCACAGTAACTTGAATGATAAAACCTGTCACCGAACTCTTATATTAAAGGTCACAAATCCCAACTCTCTTCTTCATATGAAAGCTAAGACCACCATTGCTATTTTTGGTCGTTTTGGTGTTCAAGTATTAAGCTGTAAAAGTGACAACAAAAATGTGAATGCCACGCTCTCCAAATAATGTTTCAGGCTTTGATTCAGTCGAGGAATCAGCAACAACACCAGTGGAATCAGAGTCACTCCCTGGATCAACCATCGAAACCAGCTTAGCTAAAGTCCAGTCAGAACCGCACAGGTAAGTGGCAGCCGCTCTACTTCACTCCAGGGCCTAATTTAAAGTAGGCATTCAATGTTGGGCCAATTTAGTGTAATCGCAACACTTGTCCTACAATAACTGCATTTTAATGGCTTTGTATGAATTTGACATTGACGGTTAAGTACCAGGTGTCTAAATTATTTAAACCCAACTGTTTGTTAATGTGATCAAAGCTTTTTGCTGGTGTTCATTTTGGTAACTTGTCCATAAAAAAACAGTCATCAGAGGTACTTGCAGTTCATCAGATGAATATTTAGAAAACCACTAAGGGTGCTAGTTTGTCTGAAATATGTTGTTCTAAATTCAATTAGCCTCATTTTTTGCTTGTTTTTGCCAAATTGTGGCACGTGATCAAGATCCTGGTTCCCACACTCAGGATCTTAGCAGGTCAGTCAACATAAAACTGTAAAGAACCAAAATTATTATTCACTTATCCAGGCCAGTGGAGTTAATAACCTGAACCAGTGTTTGTTTGACATTTTGTCAAATTTATTATTTTTTTTTCCAAAAAGTGGCAAAAGTTTATTGTGATATGTTTCCCTCTCAACAATAAGCTGAACATACAATATGTTAAGTACAATTTTCTAGATTTATACATTTCTTAAAAGCTGATTTTAGTACATGAATGTCTTTTGAGTAAAAGCCCCTGGACAGATATTTTCTATGAAATTAAAGGAAATGCAAAAAGCATGGTTATTAAAACATGCTTTTTGCAAAAGAAAAATACTTTGTGTTGTACCTAACATTTCCAGTTGTACAAAGGTTTTAATGCGTCAAGAATAATTTTAGACTAATTAGAAATAAAAACTTTTCCATACGGGCTGCAGTTTAGGCACTGCTGACGTAAACCAACCATTTTAAATCTCAGAGAAAAACACATGGATTAATAGTTCAACACTGGAGATATCTTCTAAACTGTAAAACCAGTCCTAATCATTTTACAGAGAGGTAATGTTTTCAGAGGAGACTTGTTGCTTCTCACCCTGAAGCATTTTTAGCATCCTTGAAGCATTTTTTTCCCCTATTTTATTGACCTCGTTTTCTTCCTATGAGCCATGTGAGGACAAATGTCTTCACATTTTCTCTATATACTCAGTTGGACACTTTTACACATCAGCACACCCACTCATAAATTTAGATTTTATTGCTGCTGCAGGTCATGACATTCCTGTGTGCACACTTAGACTCAAGGTGGATTTTCTTTTTATAACATATAACTGTACATTGTTACTTTAGAATGAAATATGAGATGTGCAGGGCCTTTCTCACGTTTTTTCACTTTACAACCACAAACTTCAATGTGCTTCATTAGAATTTCATTTGATTAAGTAAAAAGATATCACATTATTTTGAACCGAAAGGAAAACAGCCTTGCCTCCGATTTCTCTCACTGCTGATTCTTACAGGGTTGTAGGAAAGGCTGGTGCTTATTTGAGTATAAGGCAGGATGCGTTCGGGTGCAGGTCGTTGGAAGGAAAACATGTTACATGATTTTGAACATTGTTTGCAACGTTGACTCTGCTAAAGGGGTGGCAACTTTTATGCTCCTCACCTCTGGAACTAACTCTGTGAAAGCTTGAAATGTGCAGAAGCTGTTGCTCAGGTAAATGAGGACTGACATCATTACTGTTTACTCCAGTTTTTTCATAAAGGCCAAAGACTGATTTATCGTGTCTGACATTTCTTCGCTTTTTACTTTTCTTAAATTTGTTATTTTAATGTTTCTTTTTATAGGATTATGCATCATGTTTGTAAAAGACACTTTGAATATATATGCTACACATATAAATTTGACTTGTACACACACATAGATTCTGTTTTACATGACTACTATTTTCTTTAACTTTCTTTAATCTGGTAAACCACAGACAGACCTTCTTATGCATTTCTGTTGACAATAGCTTTCTTTTTGCAACTCTTCCACAAAGGTCAGACTTATCGGAAACTAACAGTTAGTCTGACCTTTCACCTCTACTTTATCTTATTTTACATGCAGCTCAGAAGTGTCTCGTCCCGCCTCAGCTCTAGATGTTCCCGTGTCACTCGGTGGCAGTGTTGAAGCTCTCGATGGAACCCTATTGGAACACACGGCAGAAATGCTCAATGGTCAGTATGGGTTCTTTTTTTTTTTAAACTAGAAATTGGCTACATGTAGCCAATGACACAAATTTGATTTTTCCAGGCAGCAGTGCAAACATTTGACATTCCATATGCAAAAATTGAGCAATCTGCTGTTCCTTGCTCCAACTTTTCAGATTGCAATATGGGACTTGAGACAAAGTCCATCCTGCCTCCAGTCTCACCTGGACATAAGAACCGTGAAGACACCAAGTCCACGTCACCTGAGGCACCTTGAATCTTCCCCTAACCGCCCGTCGAAAAGAACGAAGGAGCAAATGTGGAGGGATGGTTTTCATAGAAGATTTAGTTGTTTTGTTTTGTTTGTTTTTTTAAACAAAGCAGAAAATATTTGAAGGTAGTTTCTATTTCAAAAATCAAAATCTTATTAGTAAACATTACTTTGGGATTTATTCTGTTCTGTTTTTTGTACAGCTGTGTTTTGTTTAGAGATGCATTATAGTCAGATATGTCTGACTTGTTTAGGCTGTAAGAGCAAGAAAATCTGCTGATAAGATGGAAGGAAGAAAATAGTAATATAATGCTACTCTTGTTTATCTTGTTGAGCTTTCACTGTCTGTCATTCTGGATTTGGAAATATTGACAGGCTTTTATAAATCTCAGTCAAGGTAGTTTTATGTTTAGTAGGGAATACACACAAAACTGCTGCTTCTACTTGCTAATAAAAGAGGCTAAAGACAATTTAAATTGTGAACTTTATGTTTTCTCTGAAAATATTAGTGACACTCTCTTTTTACCAATAGCTCAAATGTGGTGATATTTCAATTAAACAATATACATAAAGAATTTGTAATTTTCTTATATGTTCTTACATTATTACATTTGAACAAAAAGTTAAACAAAATAAGAAACTAAATTTTCATTGGTACCTCTTCAAGTTTGTCCCGTCTTTTCTATTTGACCATCCGGTTATACTGGACTGTAACTTTACTGTATTCAGCATGCTTTGTCCCTATGACAGAGAAAGAATGCACTTGCCATCCACTTGCCATTTTCAGAAGACAATCCATAATAATCCCTCCATACTGCAGTTTCCTCCTGTTTAGATCTCCCTCAAAACTTAAATAAAGTCCATGAAAATGCGGACTTCCATTCACCTACTGGACAGAAGTATGTTCAATAGCTTCTCTCCTAGTATTATTTTTATTTTTATTATTTTCTCATACCTTGTTTTTCGTTTTTCTTCAGTCTCTAAAAAGGTGCAGGGTAAAGAACTACAAGGCCCAAAATGCACTTCGTCTGGTGAGCCGTTGCCATGGTAGTCAACCGACACAACTTTGCAGGACCTGGGATAAGCTAACCTCGGAAGGCAAAGAATTAGCTGTTTATTGGTCGCGCACATTGCCCACTTAGTTTTCCTCTAAAAGCTGTATTTCAAAGATACGTCAGCGGTTTATTTGTGTAACGACACAATGGAGGAAGAATCACAGGAGCAGCAACTTCTGACGATGGAGAAGGAAAGCAGGGAGCCACAGGTCGAACCAGAGACGTTAAAAGAACCAGAGACATTAAAAGAACCAGAGACGTTAGAAGAACCAGAGACGTTAGAAGAAAACGTCGAAGTCCAGGTAAAAATGTAAACGCTTCATGTTGACTTGAATAAATCTAAACGGAGCATATTATTTAAGATTTTCTCCTAAAAATCGTCACAATGGTGTATTTTCATGTATTCAATTTATGTTCACCTCGTCATGGCGCTGAAAAAAAAGATGACCTTGAGTTGAAGGCGACTGAACTAAATAGCAAGGTGTAAAGGTTGACTATTTTGAAATTACCGGAAGTGCATGAACGGGTACAGATTGGAGTCTCTTTTTAAGCAGGATTTTAAATATGGAGTAGATGAGCATTTTCACTTTTTGATATAAGTGTTGACCTCACAGAAATCAGCGGTCTTCAAATATTTTAAAATATCTTAATAGAAAACTGTGAATTGTGTACATAAAATTACATTTAAGTAGTTTGGAGCCCCAGCAGATTCAGGTGCAATGTCATTTTAATTTTTGGTTCTAGTTGTAAAAGAAACAGACATCTCCTGAGTATAGGAGATGTCTGTTCCCAGAATAATGGGTATTATTTCTGGAAGAAAACAATACAGCTTTCAAAAAGGTCATGATTATTTCCACTTTGTTTGACTTAAATAATTGCTAAAAATCTAAATCTGCTGCGGTGTCTCAACAATGTTGAGCATAACAGCATGGACTATTAGTCCTCTAAAAAAATGTTTTTTGATGTCACCATAGGAGGGGTTGTTAACTGAAGAAATGGTGTCCAAAGGTTTGTCCCATCTTGGACTTGATCTGACCGGGCAGCATCATGTTCTATGCCACCTATCCCTACCTGTGAGATGTGTACCCACAACCTGGACATTGATTCATTGAAGCCTGATTAACTTTATTCCTGAGTGTGTTCTTTTCTTCTCCAGAATCTCAGTCTTATAGACATATCTTTGTTATGCAAGTATGTCAATCTTGAAAAGCTAGAACTGCAACACAACAACATAGAAGGTAACATTTTTTTCCATTTTTCATTTACTTTCATTCATGATTTTGTGCAATATGGCAAACTGGAAAATTATAATCAACTTTTCTTGTGGTATAATGTGTTGACATATGATGACTAAATGATTTATTCTAATTATAATACATTTCATCACAACTTGTAGATATATCCTGCCTGAACCACATACCCCACCTTATCTACCTGGATGTGTCTCACAATGAAATCTCCAACTTCTTCCAATTCCAGCCACTCCGGTACCTCGAGGTGCAGGACCTTGAACTGACAGGATAAGACAACATTTGATTGGTGGCTTGGGCATCATTTTCTAGCACTATTCCCCTAAGATAGGCCTGGATTACCATAGCACATCTGTAGTCGCTCTGAATTTGCTTACAAGGCATTAGCTGCCCTTCAATGACAGTGAACATTTGCAGAGTCTTGTTCAAAAGAGGTTGTACATTGCAAGTTTTAGTTATTTGTTAAAAGTTTACTGCTTTCTTCTGATTTCCAGGTGGCTAATTTCTCCCATAACCGAATACCAGACATAAAGGATCTGGCAGGCTTTTGCTGCCTGCGAAAGCTGAATCTGGACTGTATCCTTGCACTCATTCACTTTAAAGGATGTGGATGTCATCGCATCGCCTGATGCTTTAACAAAACTCCTATAGTCTGAAGTTTCTATTCGCCAAAATCCGCATTAGACTATAAATTATACTTTATTTCTTTATTTTAATGCTTTCAGAGTGTACCGATGGTACAAAATATAACTTCAGTGACTTGTCAACGCAAGAGTTTGATGTGGACCTTGTCTGAATTGAAGAAAGAACATCTTGGTTATCCCAAAGATTATAGGGGGGAAAAAAGACTGATGAGACAAAAGTGAATCCTTTTTTAAGTGTTCATAACCTTACCACTTTCATAAAATAACATAGTGTGATGGTATGAGGCTGAAGAGTTGTGGACAACTCTTTCACAGTTATGGAAAAAGAGCAAGTGCTTTATATCAGTTGTTGGGTGGCACAGCCAGAGGGGGCGTTTACTTTTTCAAGTAGGACCAGGTTGGTTTGGATGGCTTTTTTCCCCCCATCATCATTATTTGTTTGTTTTGAGTTCGATTATTTTTTTTTAGAAAATGCTCTGTGGTTCACTGAAGCATTTATTAATTACAAAAAAGAAACAAGTCAATTACTTTTAAAGTAGTTACTTCCATATTACAATGTCCACATAGATATTCTAGTATATTAAGATGGGAGAAACAATTTTGTTTGTATTTGTCGCTTGACAGCCTTACTGAAAACCCAAGCCAGTACTATGAAATGTCACTTGTGAAATGTTGCCATCATTTTATCTTATTTTTTTATATTGATTTATGCATAGCAAGTTTGTTTACCTAAAAAAAAAATTTCTTAATCATTTGCTCAGACAACTGTCTCTCTGAAGTCAACGGTCTCACAGATTGTTCTATCCTCAACCATCTCAGCCTGGCTCACAACCAAATCACAAAAATCAGCAACCTGGGCAATCTGCCTATTACGTCTCTCAGCCTGGTAAGATTTTATTATTTTGCAGCATTTGAAAATTTTGATCCTTACATATGAATCTATATTTTCAAAGAATTATTTTAAATTAAATCTCTATTATTTATTGAGTGTTTAAAATGTTTCTGAACTTGACTTTTTCTTTTGAAACAAGCTCAGTTTCATATTTTTTCTGTCCTCCTTTGCTGTTCTCAATCTGTTTTTGCCACATTTTAATATTTAACAAACATCACTGTATGTCCCAACGGCATGCTTTTTCCACTTGTTCTTAGTCGTTCTGTGTGGGTGCATTTTCTAGGGCCTCCGTGTTTTTCTCATTGTCAGCATCTATTGGTCTGGCTGTATCTGCCTCTCTCTGGAGCTTCCTTTAGGGACCAGGTCTTTGACTGAACCTGGACCGAATTCAGCCTGCACACATTCCCCTTTCCCTCCAGCATCCATCTCGTCCTGCCCATGACCCCGCTCCTTCCCCAACGCGCCTCCTAAAGCAGCATGGCATTGTCAGCCAGTCTGTTTCCCAGCACATCATAGTGCCGACCCAGAGCTTCCAGGGACCAACACGGTCACCCTCCCCTGCTGACAGCAACCCTCTGTCTGGCAGGATGCTTGGCAAGAGCAGGCCAAGGTGTGGCCAGGCAGTTGGATAACAACTTTTGTCAGTAGAATAGATAGAGAATCAGGTTGACAAGACTGTTGAGCCCAGGTCTTGTTCTGTGGTTCGTCAGCATGCTGTGCTAGCCCCTCAACAGCTGTTTAGCTGTCAGTCCAAGCCTGTCAGCATTTAGCAAAGAGCCAGTCCTGCCACTCAGCTCAGTAATAAGGGTAACAAAGCTCAGGCGCTGTGTGGATCATTCCTAATAGAATTATTAATAAAAGTATAAAAAGGACTTGCTGCACATACATTATCATTAATGTTTCCCTTTTTGCTGTTTGTATTAGAAGGAAAACCAGCTCCACAGTTGTGAAGGGTTGGAGAAGTTACAGAACATACAGTTTCTTGATTTGTCGAGGAATTCCATCACTTCTCTTTCAGGAATTCAGAATCTCCGCTATCTATACTACATCAACTTGGAGAAAAACCAGGTATGTTCAGCAACAGGACAGAACGTTCTCTATCATCTTTGTAGATGTATATAATGTATACCTGCGTTTTACTTGCAATCTAGGTTCAAAATCAATACTTTTGTGAAAGAATATATGTTATGAAAGAAGAGCTCAATAAACAGAATGTTAAAAAAAATAATCAAATTATAGTGTTAAAAGTAAGAAACTTTTCATTTCCCAAAGTTTGCTGTATTATATCTAGTACATACAGATAAGATAGTATACTATTTTCAAGCTCACAACAGGCTTGAAAACTAGCTAAATCCAACTTTAGACAAATAATAGTCATCGTTTTTCATGGGATCATAGTTTCTTAAACCGTTTTTATTAAAAAAATATACATATAATTTTTTCCTTCAGATTATGGAAATTGAAGATCTAAAACATATCATTGATCTACCGATGCTGACAAACCTCAATCTCCTGGATAATCCTGTGCAGGTGAGTGAAATATTTACATACAAGAGTCTTCACCCATAAGAATGTAAAATACAGTTGAGGTCAAAATTATTAGTCCTATATGCCAATATTAATGCCGTCTATCCATTTAACTGGATAGTTAGATCTTTGACCCATCGTCTCTTTCAAGCTTGTGAAACCTTCTTCAAGC